TCCCCCCACGGGGGAAGTGTTATACATTTATAATAGATACATTTTGAGCCACAACAATGTGTGGCAGGATTTGCTAGTATTTAATAAGAGGAGAAAGGTGAGTGACAAAATTCTATATTTACATATCTTTATTCTACAACATTTGTACTTCAATTTCACCCTTCCAGAAAACTTAGTTCAGAAAAGAAAAATATATACAGTAAGACCCTGCTTAACATGGGGGATGCATTCCTAGACAACCAAAGCACTAAACAAAACAGCGTTAAACAAGGTCATTTTAACATAGAGTAAATAGGGAAAAGGGAACACGTGATCAAAAATAGACACATTTTACTTTAATTTTAAGTTATTTTTATATTAATTTGCATAATAATATATGCTAAATAACACACAAACATATGCACACAGAAATGTAAAGTTTATTTTTTGTGATGAAGGTCCTGACTTTTCTGAAATTCTTGTTCTTTTGCAATAAAGTTGTAAAGTTTCGTTTGTGTCTTTTTTCTTACCTTAAGCAAATGTTGATACCAGAAGATTGCATCCAAAATGCCTTATTTTGCTTTTGCACTCCTTTCAAAATCTGGATCATTCACTACAATTTGATCAACAATTTCAGTTATCATTACCAAACTTTTACTAAGGAAATCTGTAGAGAAATTCTTTGGGTTCCTTGTTTTCAGAATCTCTATCAGAATTCCTTGTTCTGCCAGTTCTTGAAGGTCATCGTTGGTAAGGCTCTCACTAGAAAACTGCAGTAACTCCTCAATATCCTGCTTGTCTATATCTAGTCTGCTGTATCAATTAGGTTAACAATTTAGTCAACCTAACGATACAGCGATAGGCTATTCTCATTGAGAATTCTTGGATATCTTCAGCCATAACTTCTTCCACATTCTGTTCATGCATTCATCAGTTAATTCTTGCCATGTGAAGTCAATATTGCCTATGGTATTCATGATGATATATTTTTTCCAAAAACATGGATTTAGGCTATGATGAATTGCCACCTTTTGCTGATTGGTTCATGTTCGCAAATAATCATATTATAAACGAATCAATGAAATGCCACAATAATTTAAATCAGCATAAATTTTGAGATTTTTTAGGCTTCGAGCAGACCATGCTATATCGAATCACTGTTAATCGAGGCAGTGTTAAGTGGGTCTTACTGTACTCTGATCAATTAGTCTGGCTCATTAAAAAAAAAATAGAGTACTGATTTAAAGTGGGGATAATAAAGGAATGAATAAAAAATATTCAAATTCAAATTGGGTCAAAATAATTTAACTACTAAACTGTTATAAATCAAAACACAAATACTATAAAGAAAATTATTGATACATATTTAATAAATTAAATTGTCATATTTTGTATTTAAAATAAATGAATTATAACAAAATACAAAAACATTAAAAATATTAATAAATATAAATTAAATTTAAAATGCCGGAGTCAGAGTTGACACATGTTTCCTGACTTTGACTTCACAGCCTTGATTATTAGTAGGGATAATGCAGCCCAATTTAACCTGGTAATTGTTTGGCTTTAATACAAAGAAGTACTTTTGACATTTCAAAATGTTATCTTCAGGCAGAGCATATTTAACATTTGAATTACAATTTTTAAAAATTAGTTTATTCTTAGTCATGATTAAACTTGATTAGACCAGGGCTCTTTTGGATAATCTAGAAACTTGCTTAATTTTGTTTTGGGTACATTCATTAAGCACTGTATTTAAAGTTTCATGAATTATAAATACTGTAATGTAATTACTATATTTAAAAATAAATTAATTTATTCAAAATCTAATGTAATGTTATATATGTGGCGTAGTTTTACAGATGATGTAGTAATTTCCAGTTATATGGCAAAGTAGTTAAGGCACTGAGTACAACAATGCTGAATAGGATCAGTTTGTTTACTTATTTTGATTTATAATAGTTTTCAGTTACTTTTATGTTAATTTTTCATAGAGTAAAAAGATTAAATAATTTTATAATAAAAATATTTGTTTCTAATGTTCTCTTTTATTAAAAAAAGTGAAATTGTTATTTTAGGCTTGGTGTGTAATTACAGAAGAAACTGAAAGACTAAGTCGGTTAATGCAAGAAAATACTGATCATCTAGTATCAAATACTTTAGAATCATTTAGCCATTTAATTTTAGAAAAACGAGCATTAAAAAATGTGTATGTAGAAGAACATTTACGCATTTGTGGAAAATTAACTCAAGTAAGAATTTTATATTATTATTATTAGGCTTCAATTTGAAAAAATTATAAACTTATAAATTCCCACTGTCGTCTGTCCATCCGTCCATCTTTCTTTAATCTTGAGAACAGAGTTAGATAGATGAAGTTCGAGATGAGATATGGAAACCATAGGGACATGAGATCCCAATTAACTATATAAGAACATCTGATGCAAACTGGAAGTCATGTTATTTCAATTCAAAACTTCCCCTGAAAGCAGTTAATAGATGACCAGCATGACTATTGTTAAAAGAAAGTATGATGTACAGGGACAACACAGTACACTACTAATTTGAGATGGAGAGCATATATTTTAAATTAAATAAATTAAAAATATGATTAAAAATTGCAACCCTTCATTGTGATAATGTTACAATAAATAATTGCTCATTATTTTTATTATTGTTAATTAAATTGCATTTGATGTTCAAATATATTAAATAACTTAAATCAGGGCTTCTTAAACTATGGGTCGCGACCCTATTTGGGGTCGCTTAGCAAAATCTTGGGGTCGCGAGATTTTANTTCTACGACAGGGCATTTTAAACTGTGGGTCGCGACCCCATTTGGAGTCGTTTAGCGAAATCTTGGGTTCACGAGATTTTAATGCAAAATTTTAAAAATAATTTGTGAGAATTTGAAAATGGCATGCTTTGTGTCATAGGTTTCTTGAGTTGCGTTTTGTCACTTCTGGTGCAGCAAGACAATGATTCAGCAACACTGATTGTAGTGTGAACTACTGTAGTGTTGTCGCTTTTCAGTGTATTCAGTTGTCTCTGCTCCATTGTAACATAAGAGTGAACTGTAGTAGTACACCATTATTGGTTTTGCAAATTTGCAAATGTCTTTATTTTATATATATTTTTTTTTTTTTTTGGTCGCGAAGAAAATCACAATCATAAATGGGGTTGTGAATAAAAAAAGTTTAAGAAGCCTTGACTTAAATTAAATATTAATATATAAATAACTTAAAATTACGAATTTTGAAATATCTATTTTTTTCATGTTTATTCGTTTATTTCAGAAACATAAGAACATAATAAAATATTATTTAATTTCAGTATAAAACTAACAATTAAATTACAACAGGTCTCAATTTAACAGGCTAATTAGGAGACTGGGTGGTTGTTATTATCAAAGCCTTGTTAAATCATGTATTTTTTTACAAATATACAGTATATTAATAATGAATGTATGGAATGCATCAAAAAGTTGTCATAATGTATAAGTATGAATAAAATATTAATATAATGTACAGTACATTTAGTAATTGATACATGACACTAAAATGTTTCTTAAAAATGTAAAAATAAATTTACAACAGGAACCAAACCTTGTTAATTAAATAAATCAAAAGCTATACGATGTAACTAAGGGAGTATTTTGTTTTTCTTAAAGCTCTCACAAAGTTGTTTTTAGTTTGAATATTAGTTATGGCAGATTGTTAGTGATGCCTCTTCTATGTGATTTGCATTATTGCATTCAGTCTCAAAATTTGATTGATCAATATTGATAAAACTTTGCCATTTTCCATTTATTGTAATGAGGAATTCAAAAACATTATAAAAAATGGGGGTCCATGACTTCATTTTTATGATACAAGGTCATATCACAAGTGCATGTGACAAAGCAATATTGCATGAATTGTGTGACTTTGTCAGGTGATGTCACAAAGTTGATAGCATGTCTTCTGTAGGCTTATAGAATTGAGTTTGTTCTCAAAATTTGATGGGCTGATTTTGACAAAACTTTGCCATTTTCCATTAATTGCGACAAGGAATCCAAAAATGTAATGTGGATCTATTTAAATTTAAAAAATAGAGATCTGTGTCTTTATTTTCAATATACAGTGGAGTTAAAGTGCAATGTCTATGCTCTGTGACTTGAGCACATCTAACAGAATTTAGGACAGAGAAATAAAAAGCAGCATTGCATGCACTGAACAGAAAATAGACAAACAAACAAAACACAAGAACAAAACAATTGCTATTGATTGCTTTGGTTTTGGCTTGCCTCTTCATGTTGGCAAGTTCAAGAATTGTCTCTCTATACCTGGCCAGTACAAGGATCACATTAACCATGGCTGGCAGCTAAGAGGATTCCTCTCCTGTAGCTGCAGGTACAAGCAGGATTGTGGAAAGGCAAGGACAGAAGGATAAAGACCAGGATCTCAAGATGGGATGCTAAAGTTCCAAAAGTGTTGCATGGGTGAACTAATAAATTCATAAAAAACTCTCACACACAAGTGTGAAAAATTATATTATGAAATATAATAAACATTATATTAATAAAAATTGATTATATAATTTTTAAATTTGTAACAGACTAATGAAAGTCTTATCCAAAAGGTGCCATATATTTAAGTTTGCCCCTCGTGCCAAATACTCTTGCCAAATATATAGGTACAAAGTACCTTGTTTTGTAGCGGCAAGTGCAAAGTTTATCTGTCCGTGTTCAACTGATATAAGGATCGCCTCTTCTGTGTGTAACAATTGCAAGGACTGCTTCTTTCTTTCTGACTCCACCTCAATTCTATTACAATATGATACAAAATCCTTAAGTCTTAGTTTATTTTATTTAAAACTATTTTAGAGGGGAGAAAATGCTTTAAAATTCTTAAACTTTATTGAATGAAACACATTAAAAGAAATAATGTAATTAATTTTATAATAGAAAAATAGAAGTTTACTTATTATTTTAAATTTTAGAAGACAAAAATTTGTTTTCTTAGCTGTTGTTTATAATAAATAATAATAATTTTATAAATTTTTAAAATATTTTAAATTAAATAATAAACATTAAATATGGTAAGTTATTTATAAATTGAATTATTTAAGACCAGACATTTTTGTATTTGCATTAATTAATCTTATAATTTGTTTTTAATTATATTTAATTTGTTAATATATTAATTATTATTTAATTAGTTACAAGAATCTGTGAATAAAACTAGAAATGAATATGAAAAATCTATAGATTTATGGAAAATAGCTAGAGCAAAATATGAAGATCAATATATTAAAGGTAGAAATTTAATACAGTTTAAAAATAAAAATATTCTTTATAAATATTTTTATATTTTATAATACTTTGTTTATTTGAAGGTAAACATACAAAGAAACTAACAGAAGCAAAGGAAAGATATCAAAAATTGACAAAAAAGTTACATCATATTCACAATGATTACATTCTGTTATTAGGAGAAGCAACAAAATATGAAAGAGATTTCAGAACAACTTTATTATTAAGTCTTCTAGAATATCAACAATCTGTGCTTCAAGAATCTGTTGTAACTTGGTAACAATAATTTAAAATTTATTTAAAGTAAAGTAAAATAAAAAGAAATATATTAACTCACAAATCTTATAATATAGTAGCTCAGGATAGTCTAACTTCTTTCAATTTGGATCCAAATTGCATATTTGAACTTAACTCATGAATCAGAGAAATAATTTTTTTTATGAGAATATCAAATAAGACACTTTAATCATATGGTAAACCAAGTCCAAATTATACATAAATAATCAAATGATAATGCTGGATTCATTATTGTGTTATAACTTGGTTGATGAAATATATAGATATAGGAATGTAATCACTGATGCTTTTCTCTCTCTCACTCTCTGCCAGCCTGTATGAGTTTAAAAGTAAACAGTGTAAAATACATCATAGCTGTTGATGACTGGATGAAACAGAAAACATACATCAGACTCAAATACTAAGCTACACAAATAGCCAAAAGATACAGAGAAATAAAATTTAATACCTGTTCTTGTTTAGCCTTATCTATTTTTATTGAGCATTGTCATGTATCACTGTTTGTATATGACATACAAGGAGTTGTCGTACCAATATGGCAGCTCCTTGCACAATAATGTGCTGTTAGTGATCTTGGACTATTGTATTTTTACAATAGCCTACCTATCTATGCTAAGTCTGTGGAAATCGTCGATAATGTGGGTTATTCACACAGAAATTTCTATATTGCTGAGATGATATATGTAATTGGACTAAAACTAGGCAATTAAGTTATCATTTTGTATTAAATATATAATTAGAATTAATTAAGGTTATTCAGGAATAAAAGCATCTGCACAACAAGCAGAAGTTGTGTTTAAATTCAGATATTTGATTATAATTATAAATAATAAATTATAATAAAAACGTTTTAAAATAATAATAAGCAAAAATAATAATTTTTTGTTATTTAGGAAAAATGTCTTAAGAGATTTTGCTCAATATACAAATTTGTCACGTGAAAATTTCCAAACTGTTCATACAAGAATAAAAGAAAGCATTGAAGCTATTATTGCCAGTCAAGAATATACAGTATTTATTGATAAAAATAGGTAAATTTTATTTTATTTTTTGTAGAAATATTTTAAAAATTTTTATAATAATAAAATTGATAATTTAAATATAGTTAAAGATGAAGTGTTTTTAATAAACATTTTTTATTTGATGTATCATCATCTACATGTTCTATTATTATGGAAAGTTTGTCTAATTTAGATGAACATCAAAAACACTGTATATTAAAATTTTATATATTTTAAAATAAGTAGAATAAAAACTGTTTAAGAATTGTTTGTGCTTTTTAACTTCTAGAAATTTAAAAGATTGACTATAAATCTGGAGATGGAGCCAAGTTGCTTTGAAAATGTTAAATAAGTAAAATTTGGACTTCTAAAAAGACATTTTTTGGTTAATTATATATGCACTTTGTGATTATTATTAAAAAAGAATGAAATCTTAAGCTTAAGAGTCATTTCAGCTTTTATCATTTCATTTTAAGAAAGAAAAGATTCATTTATTTAAAAAAATACTTTTTTGTTTATCAGCACTGCTTTTACACGTAGCAAGTTTTGGTAAATAATCTATAAATGGAATTTTACTTAATTACTTTAAATAAAAAGCTTTTGTTATATTTTTACTGAATGTTTTAGCAATATCATTTTAATAATTAAAAATTATTACTGTTGTCTATCATCAATATTTTAAGAATAATATTAAATTATATTTTGTTTACATCAGGTCCTCTCCAGTAGCTCCAGTTGAATTTAAATTTGATGAATATCNATGTGGGTGCAAAAACGCGTTTACAAAATAATTAATAGCCATTCTTATCGAAGTTTATTTGTTTTAAAACGCATGCGTACCAATTTTAAATATTTTTAAATGTTTTTAGTTCTAAAATTTAAATCTTATTTATAATAGTTATATTCAAAAAAAACGGCTAATATCGTTAATGTTTAAATTTAAATGTATGGTTCGAATTCTCTATTCGTTTTTGAATTGCCTGAAGACGACGTGCATATTTACGTCGAAAGCACTCGCAAGAATAATATATTTTAATTATATTTAACGCCTCATAGTCTGAAGTTTTGGAAGAAGTTTTAATTGAAAAATATATTTTATTCATTTATAAAATCTACAAGGGTTGTCCAGAAAATAAAGAACATTTGTGCATAGCACTATGCAGGTAAATGATAGCCATCAATCCAAGGTCAGTTTATTTTCTGATGTATTAGCTTAGCCCATGTAAAGTTTTGATAACAACAGGCATATTGTTACTGTTTTGTCAAGGATCAAAATGTGTACAAAAATCGAAAATCTGGTGGGATTTTCGATTTTTGTACACATTTTGACCCTTGACAAAACGTTTGATTGTACATCAATGCAAAGTTTCATTTTCTAAAGACAAAGAAAATTCATCCTACAGAAAGTCATAAACAAATCACAGTAGTATATGGTGATTACATTATGAACGAAGCAAGTCTGAAAAAATAGTGTTTAATGTTTAATCAAGGAAGATAATGTGTGACCATGCTCTGCAGCCATACAAGCTGTACTTCAGAAATTTGTCTGGGATGTTTTCAATCACCCACCATACAGTCCCAACTTGATACCCAGTGACTTTCACCTCTTTCCTAAACTGAAAAAGTTTTTGAGTGAATTTGGAATATTTTGGAACAAAAGACAAGGCAAAAGAAGCTATCACTAGCTAACTGAAAATACTGGCAGTGGAAGTCTATGATGAAAGAATCCAAATACTAGTGTAGTGCTTAAATCGTTATAGTGACTATGTAAAAAAATAACTGGTCTTGTACTAATTACTTAATAAACTTTTTTCCTATCATTACTTTTTTTTTCCTTTTAATAATCAAATATTTGTTTAAAAAACTGCAATGTAGCACAGTAATCAACACATGGCATAACTCATTCATTTATTCCAGCTTTTTGTTGTCAACAAAAAGCTGGAATAAATGAATGAGTTATGCCATGTGTTGATTACTGTGCTACATTGCAGTTTTTTAAACAAATATTTGATTATTAAAAGGAAAAAAAAAGTAATGATAGGAAAAAAGTTTATTAAGTAATTAGTACAAGACCAGTTATTTTTTTACATAGTCACTATAACGATTTAAGCACTACACTAGTATTTGGATTCTTTCATCATAGACTTCCACTGCCAGTATTTTCAGTTAGCTAGTGATAGCTTCTTTTGCCTTGTCTTTTGTTCCAAAATATTCCAAATTCACTCAAAAACTTTTTCAGTTTAGGAAAGAGGTGAAAGTCACTGGGTATCAAGTTGGGACTGTATGGTGGGTGATTGAAAACATCCCAGACAAATTTCTGAAGTACAGCTTGTATGGCTGCAGAGCATGGTCACACATTATCTTCCTTGATTAAACATTAAACACTATTTTTTCAGACTTGCTTCGTTCATAATGTAATCACCATATACTACTGTGATTTGTTTATGACTTTCTGTAGGATGAATTTTCTTTGTCTTTAGAAAATGAAACTTTGCATTGATGTACAATCAAACGTTTTGTCAAGGGTCAAAATGTGTACAAAAATCGAAAATCCCACCAGATTTTCGATTTTTGTACACATTTTGATCCTTGACAAAACAGTAACAATATGCCTGTTGTTATCAAAACTTTACATGGGCTAAGCTAATACATCAGAAAATAAACTGACCTTGGATTGATGGCTATCATTTACCTGCATAGTGCTATGCACAAATGTTCTTTATTTTCTGGACAACCCTTGTAGATTTTATAAATGAATAAAATATATTTTTCAATTAAAACTTCTTCCAAAACTTCAGACTATGAGGCGTTAAATATAATTAAAATATATTATTCTTGCGAGTGCTTTCGACGTAAATATGCACGTCGTCTTCAGGCAATTCAAAAACGAATAGAGAATTCGAACCATACATTTAAATTTAAACATTAACGATATTAGCCGTTTTTTTTGAATATAACTATTATAAATAAGATTTAAATTTTAGAACTAAAAACATTTAAAAATATTTAAAATTGGTACGCATGCGTTTTAAAACAAATAAACTTCGATAAGAATGGCTATTAATTATTTTGTAAACGCGTTTTTGCACCCACATTTTATAAAATGGATGTGGTTGCGTTGTACCCTTCGGTACCGCACTTTGAAGCGGTGATGCTAGCCAATACCTTACTTATCAAAGAGGGCTTTACTGCACAGCAAGTTTTAGAAGTTCGCGAAGCATTACTCTTTATTACGGAGCACAATTACTTCCGCTTTAATGGAAAGATTTACCTGCAGAAGCACGGGGTGCCAATGGGCTCACCACTGTCAGCTGTATTGGCAGAACTCATCATGCGGTGCGTTGAACACAGTGTTTTTAAATTCCCTCTCACCATAGCTTACCCTTAATTTATTTAAGATATGTAGATGATATTCTTTTGGCGTGGCAGGATACAGAAGACTCCTTCCGGATATTAGAACACCACTTATCAAAAATGTATGCCACTATACACTTCATGTGGGAGAAGGAAGTTGGGAGAAAAATTGCTTTCTTGGACTTGCACATTCAAAAATCCCAGGAAGGCTTGAAGTTTTCCGTCTATCACAAATTTGGCAATATCCCACCCATAATACCGGCCACAGCCTGTCAACCACAGCAATATGTTAATGCGGCCATAGCTCCCTTGATCAGACGGGCATTCTTACTACCATCGACACAACATCTTATCAATACCGAACTGGAAGCTGTCCGCACAGCGGTGTACGCGGCGGGATTTAGTGCCTCCAAATACATCCATGTTAAAAATAGAGTCATACAGTCTCTCTTCCCTGCCACCACATTGCGCAGACCAAGGGATTGGACAACGCTCCGTCCCTCACTCCCATACTGTGGACGCTTCACGGCCCGGATCTGCCGGATTTTTAGGCAGAATGGCTTTCGTTTACCCATTGCCTCACGACCATGTCTGCGACGAATCTTATGTAATGATAGGGATGCTATTTCCACCCTGGAAAAATCTGGTGTATACTCCGTTCCCCTGCAGAATCCAATATCAGGACTATGCACCAATTATATAGGAGCGACTACGAGAATGCTGGCTGCTCGCATATCTGAACACCAACGTTCGGTGGCACTTGGCAATTGTGACACGGAACTTTCCAAATTGGTGATACAACACCACCACGTAGCGCTTTGGAATCGAGTGGAAATACTCAAACGCTGTGATGAAGGGAAC